GTATACCTTTTATTTTATACTTTATTGTATAAAATATATATTAGGTATATCTATTTAACTTTAAAGTATATTTTAGTACATATTCGTAAAAGCTAGTAGAACTTTTGGACTTATTAAATGTTATTTAAAATATATTTTTTTTTTACAATTTTATGTTTGTAATTTTAAATATATTCTATGAAAATAAATATTAAAATAATTGTTATTTTAAAATAAAACGAATTTCTTAATATATTTATTTATTATAGTTTTATATTATTTCATATTTACATTGATTATTTTACATATTTATAACATAAAACAATGTAAAATATGTAATGTTATTCAAAAATTTATATGTAATTAATACAAATAAATTATTTTGCTATTGATATTAATAATTATGATTTGAATATCAGAGTCTATATTATACTGTATACACTAGCTTTTGCTTCTCATTTAACTAATTCCATTGTTTGTGGTGCGTGTTGCCAGGCATTTGTGAACAGATTGTATCAGTTTGCATTTCACTTAGGGCAGCAGTGGGCCGTCCACACCAATACACCGCCACACCTCAAAAAAAAGGTACAAAATTATTCTAAAATTTACTATTGCAATAAATTTAATTTGATATAGTTATATATATAAAGCATTATATATATATATATATATATATATATATATACTAAAATAGATAATTTAAAGATAAATTTGTGCTTTTATTATATATAGAGAAGAAGAAAAAAGTTACTCTTCCACCGACCGAAAGTACATTGCAAAAGACTTACCCAGCAGCAGCTTCTCAATCAATCAAACCAATCCCAATCGGATGACGACTCTAGCCAATCAGTGGGCGGAGCCGGATAACAATCCAAATTCTTCCAGCCAGCATTCTACCAGCTCCAGTTCTGCCGCAGAAAAAAATTATACTGCGACAACTTCTGGAAAATCTTGCACAACAGCGGGAGACTCAGAGGAACGAGATATAGAAATGGAAGCAGCAGCTCATCTATTGACAAAACAAGAAAAATCCTTATGTCTTCAACTTGATCTGAAGCCAACACAGTATTTAACACAAAAGACATTGTTGTTGCAAGTAAGTTTTTATATAAATAAATTATTTTAAGTAATAAATAATAAAATTATTTTCTGTTTAAATAAATACCATATTCTTACAAAAATTGATATATTCAGTTATATATGATTACTATAAATACTAAAGAAATTTTTATATTTTCTTTCAATTTTATTTTTAGGAATTTTGTTTAAGAGACATCAAATAGTAAATTTTATTTGATATCAAAAAAAATTGTTATGGATAGATTTTAGAAAATAACATTTATCATGTTCTGTATATTATATAAATAAAAATTTTATGTTTGCAGGAATATCTAAATGGTAATAGAAGATCAGGCATTGTACCTCAATCGGAACCAGAGAGTAAGATATTACATTATCTGGTAGCAAATGGCTGGATCGCGGCCAATTGATTAAACATGTAAAAAATTAACGACCATTTCCATTCTAAGTCACCTTTTATTTTGCAAACTAAGTCCTAGATTTAATTAAAGTTTGAGTCTGATTTAATTAACATATATAGGGCAGGTAGAGAGAGAATGCGTGTGTATATAATTTAATATGCAAAGACATTCTTTATTTTTTTGTTTAAATGATAAATATTTAAATAAATGTATTGGCGGATAAATTGTTAAGAACGATAAAAAAATGTTTTGATTAACTTCTTTATTTCATTATAAACTGACTAATTTAGATTATCCGAAAAGTAATTATTTGAAAAAATTTTTATTAAGTTTTATTGTTTTTATTAAATTATTACGTCGTTTATAACAATCTGACCGTCAATTATCAATATTGTTGATTACTTTTTAAAAATTCAAATATTAAATTATTATCACCGTATCGTGCAAAATACTTCCGTGCGCTTCTGTACTTTATTTTAATGTTGTTATCTTAAACTTCTGTTTGACTTTTAATGTTACATTAGGAATTATTTAACACTTCTTATCGAGAAAATATATCTCTTACACTGCCTTTATAGAGCCATGAACATATTGCTCAATTAATTCTTCCACTATAATATTTTCTTGTATAGACTATTAATTGCACATGCTCTTTTCTATCTGTTTCAAATGTGATTTGTTACCATACTTGACAATAAGGAAACGAAGGAAGAAGTCGAGATTTATAGATCGTTGTTTAATACAACATTTAAATGATTGAAACGTATCCATCCGGGAACTTATCATCAATTGATATTTTATGTAATAGTATTTGAAAGTTTCTGGCAGAATACGTGTTAAAATATTTAAATAAAAGGCACTTTAAAATATTTATATAGCTGAGATTTTCTCATGAAAGTATTGAATATTTCTAGTTTAATAATAAGTATAATGTCCTTAAACTGTACACATGTATACATACACACGCGTAATGACACAGATATTTCTTCGTATTCTTAAAAATTTGTCCATTAAAAAAAATCCTAAACGTTTTTCGCATGCATGATTTTACGCGCAAACAAATACATTTTATTCCATAGATTCTTTAAATAACTTAAAGAATATTCCTTATTGATAAAGGATGGTACAAAGAGCAGGTTATAAGAGGACATTTGTTATTACCATGAAGATAATATGATATTAGGTAATTTATCTGTTGCCTGTGTAATATTTGTAAATATGAACGAAAAATAGTACCTTCTTAGTGATACTACTTTTAAAGCACAAAAGTAATGGCGGCATAACCTAATGATGCGTTAAGCATATTGTGTGATATTGGTGGTGTTCTGAGCCAAACATGTATTGCAGAAAAAGACACTTTAACGTTTTAGGAAAATCAATTATTTTCCATTGCTTCTAATAATAATTATCTATAATTTTAAAACTATTAGAAAATAAAAAAAAGAGGAGTAATATTTATACTAAATTTGTGCATTCTTAGTGCACTTCTGAGAAAACTCTTTGATGTATGCTAACAGCTTTTATTTAGTATAAGCTGAAAGCTTTGAAAAATAGCAGAATTAATTTGATTATAAATTTTCAAATATTTGAAAAATTAAAACAAAGAAAATAGAAAAAAAGATTAATCTTTTGCTTTAATATAATTCAGTATTTCCAATAATCCCCGCTTATTAAAATTTCGAAAATGGCTTACATTCGTGCGAGAGATTAAAATAAAAATTTTATCTAGTATCATTATATAGATATAAAAAAAATTATGTGAAAAAAATATATATATGTATGTGTATATATATATATATA